AAAGCAAGGTTGCCTTAAACTGTAGCAGAAGGTAAAGCCAGCCCAGAGTCACAACTGAGCTGCTCACAAATGATGCTTTTCAAACAAATTGAGCCTACTGTTTTTACTAGGCAACTCTTTGACCACTACTTCGACACTTGGTATGCCAAAACAGGCCACGTAAGTTTTATAGCCTCATTCTTTGCCTGTAAAGAAACCTTTTTAGGCCAAGAAACTGATGGAGGAAAGCCCATGCATGCTCCACTGCCATCAAATCAAGGAACTTCAGGGCCTTCTCTGAAGCACACTATTTTTTGTTGTTGCAGTGGACCAGTATCATTTCTCTTTAGTTGCTTGACATTGATTTTTTTTGTGAGAGACAAGAATGAAATAGGAATGAGGTGCAGTAGCATCCTACTTCAAAGACATAGGAGTCTCTGAGGTTCCAATGCTTTTGTGGTGATTTGTTTGGGATTTTTATTAAGCTGTTTGTGGACAGGCAAAATGCCTGATATGTGGCTCAGCCCCCAGGCTGTTTTGAGGGTGGGTTTGTTTTGAGTTTTGGGGGGTGTTTTTGTGCTTTTGGTTTATTTTTAATTTTTTTTTTTCTTTCTGTGGTCTGTGGATGAAGCAGTTCAAGAGAGAATCAGATTCAGGGAAATCTGAGCAGTGTCAATGTTTTCTGATGCAGGCTGTATTGCTCTAAAGCCTTGAGAGTATTTGGGGTTTCTTTTCATGACCTAAGAGCAGAAGACTGCAGAATACTTAAACCATTTCCAAAATTATTGATATTCAAGAGTAGTTCTGGGGGGTTTTTTTGAACCTCAATAAGGGAGCATGTAAAAGCGTGACATAAACAATGTGAACGTCTGAAGCTGTCCTTCATGGACTGTGCTTGAAGTGAAGGTGTGGAGGTGTGTGTCCTGAGGACAAGCATTCTGAAAAGTAGTGTGTGACAGTCGATTTTGTTACTTCTTCCCTGTGATTCTTCACGTTCTTTCAGCTGTTTTCGGGAACGTGTGAAGATCTTTCTCAGTAGGTGTTGCAGTGAACAGTTATTACACTGTATTTGCATTCCTGATTGCTTGTTGGGTTTATCTTTTCTAGTTGGTGGAAGCAGATTTCCTGTTCTTGTAGTCTACAATACTTCTTTATCTGGCCTTGAAAACAGTCCTTCTGAAACGTCTGGGCTTACGAAATCCAGCTTTAGCAATGACACCTTTTTCTCCTTTGTAGGTCATTTCAGATATATTGTAAGAATCTTCAAGTGGATGAGAGGCAGGAAACCAGCAGAGCTGCATGAGTGTTTGTAGAATTTTGCTTTATGAGTTAAGAACAATTTTCAAAATGGCTCAGGGGGTTAGAGGAAACTGCTGTGCTGCTTTCTTCTGGGAATACCATTTGCTATGAAGTTGTTGGACAGCTGTGGAAATCCCCAGGCTTCTCTGGAGTTCTGTGGGGAGGTTTCCTATTTGTTCAGCTGGAATTTGGTGCAGCTTTTGCTATTGGCTATTTGCTGCTTCTGGAGGAAGTTGTAGAAGAGAGATGCCAAACTAATGTATTGGCTTGGTAGCCATTAGTGGCATCCTCTCCCCTCTTGGAACTTAGGGTTTTGACTGCTGATAACCTCTGGTTGAAGAGTTCTGCATGAAAAGCAGTACTGCACCTCTGAAGCCTGTTTCAGGACTACTTTTGTTTTCAGTTTGTTTTCAGTTTGTTTTTTATGCAAGTAAAAAGTTGTGGGTGGAAGAGTGAGTAGAGTGAGGGTTTGTTTTGTGGTTAGCTGTGTTTATCTTATTAGCCAAATATTAAATAAGGAGCTCTGGACTCACTGTATGGCAGGCCCTTTTGGGGGGGCAAGGCACCATATTCCTCTTAGCAGGATTGACATTTGTCTATTAAGCTATGAGTATCCCTGGTGGACAGAAAGTGCTCTGAGGCATTGCATGATTTTATGATGCAAAGAATGGGCCAGGCCCTACTGAAACCAGTGACATCATTCTCTTCAAAAGCCTGGGAACTTGTGCCACAGCATACCAAGCCCTGCCTGAGCTCCAAAAGGAGGGTGTGAGTAGCATAAAATGATCACTGGAAGTTCACATGTTCTGCAAAGCTTAACCTTCCCCAGCCCAACAGACTCGCACGTATTGAATAAGACAATGGTGGGATTGGTCAATATTTGTTTCTCCTTTCTTCTTCAAATGATAGGGAAAAATAATAGCTGATTGGCAATGCAAAACACTCTGTGGCCTATTGCTGCTGCTTCTGTATGTGGAAGGGGACAGAGGGAAAACTGCTGCACCTGTTGGTATGAAGATGCATTAAATATCCCAGCTTCTGCTTGCCTTATGTCACTTACATGTGGATTGCAGACTTTAAACATATTGACACGTGAGCTGCCTTCTGCAAAATAGCAGGAGTTTGGCTGTGCAGTGTGTTTGAAGTACTGCAGTTCTCAGTGCACATTTCAAACTGTACAACGTAGGTAAATGGTAACTGAAAACTTACAATAAACTGCAGGCTCCCAGAAACAAAATGTGTTGAGAAAATATTTTCCCCTTCGTTTGAGTTAAAACACAGGTACAGAGGAATTTTGGTTTTTCAGGCTTGTAGGGTACTATCATTCAAACAGTCAAAGTTGTCCAGAGTTGCGGAATATGTGAGGGAGGATAAGGAAGAGGTTTCAGCTACTGTTTGTAAAATACTTTAATTGTGAAAGAGCAAACTGTGTAGGTATATATTCTGTTACAGACACCTGGCAGCTTCTCACATTTCATTTTGCTCTAACTGTTGAACGGTCTTTTTGAAGAATGGAAGTGGAATAAGCAACATAATGGTGTATGTAATAATAGAAGCTGTGTAGAACATGTGCACAGATTGACCATGGGTTTCTTCTCTCACTTTGGTACAAAGCTGTGAGCATCATAATGAAATTTTACAGAGCAAAAGAAGAAAAGAAGAAGAAGATAAAAAATAAAAATTAAAAAAAATAAAAGTTCTTTATATTGTTATGGTTTGTCAGTCTGATTCTTCCTTGGTTTGAATAGAATGATTCTTCAACAGCATATCGTAGAGGTTTACTTTGTTCTGGACTTTTTTCCTTTTCTAAGAGGGCTGGATGAATTCGGACAGGCCCCTTGGAAGCTCCAGCACTGCAGGAGCGTTGCAAGATTTTGCTCTCTGTGTGCTAGAATCTGAGACCTACTCATTTGACAGGGAAATTGGAAACTGTCCACCCAGTGAGTGCCTCCAAGGTGACACACTGACTCCCTTGCTTCATGGTCTTTGCAAAGGGAAGTTCTCTAGAGCTGCTGGTAGTTCACACGTCGCAACTTTAAGAACCAGTTTTGAGTTAACAATAAAAAAATCTTGATTTTGATCTTTCGACTGATAGATTTTTGTTTATTCTCTGAACATCCCAGCTAAGCACCTCTCTGCCATTTTCTCTTTTGTATGGAGCAGGTTAGTGGAGATAACACAGGGCTGGAACCCAGGGTTCTCAGTGTTCCAGTCATCTCAGAAATGTGATTTGGGTTAAAACAAAAGTTGAACTTAAAGGAAAATAACTCTTCTTTAGAAAAACTATACAATTTTCTTACTCTTTTGCAGTAAGTTACAGTGCAGGACAACAGGAAGAACTTTTTAGTGAAAATGTTTTCGGCTTCTTAGTGATCTTTCAGTTAAATGTGCTACTTACCAGAACAACTTCAAATAGATACTACAATTTGTTTTTGCAGTTTTGCTTTACAATAGTGGATTGCGTTGTTCCTTTTCCCCACTAGAGAACTAAGCAGAAGGTTCTCCTGGCAAAGTCTGGTCTTTTCACACCTTTTCTTGCTCATTTTTCCTTCCATTTTACATTGATCAACGATTGGCCAGTTCCAAAAGCCTGTCATCCTTAAAGTTGGTAACTATGGATCCTCTCAATTATGGTGGGGTTTTATGCTTTCAAGGAGCAAGCTGGCATGTGTTTGAGATGTTAAGCTGATGTCACATTTGACATGAAACTCCAAAAGCTGGTGTATATTCAGGAGAATGATGGAAAAGTGCTTAGTGTTTTACCCTCCTCTTTTCTTTCAAACCAAAAACACCCCCCCTGAAGATTAGGCCAAAATCCAGTTGATTTTATTTTTGGTTCAATTAAACTGACTGTACTTACATATTCTAATAATCATCCCGTAGTGTCTGATCCCTCTTACAATAAAGAAATACCTAATGCTGTTGGGAAATAGGACTTTGAGGGCAGAGGGAGGAGGTGTGTCTGTGGAGATATATAAGTTTGCATCTATACGAGTTTGCCTGAAGGTGGAACAACTTTGTCAATGTTACAGAGACTGCGGTTACAATAAAAGCCATTTAAAATCTCTACTGTGAGGTACTAAAAATGAGAGTAAATGGCTCAATTCTGATACTTTTATGAAAGCACTAGACCAAGCTGTACCTGGGTATTGCAGTCCCTTCAGTGTTTTTAGCACAGCAGAGAACCACCCAGTGCAGCCACATCTGGAACAACCAACCTAGGTGCTTGGGATTCATAACAATGTAATCTAGCACAATCACATGTGACAATGCTGACGTGATAGTATCAAAAGCAGGACAAAGAGTTAATGACTGATTAGAAGGTGGCAGTAAACACCTCTGACTTCCTCAATTCAGCTTCAGTCCCAGTTTTGCCTGATTTGAGGGAAGACTTTTCCAGTTGCCAGCATAAGCAGAGTAACGACGCACGCTCCATGACTTTACGATGCAGAAAAACCTTGATTCAGTCATCAGTAAACTAATCCTCATTGCCCAAAGGAAAACGTCAGGAAGTTATAAAAGCAGTTACAGAATAGGTGCACTGGTCTGCCTACTGCAGTACGCTTGTCCCTTTTATCCAGGGCTTCTTTCCATGCGCTGTTTATCTTGGGAAGCACATGATTAGGAAATGCTCTTGCTCATACTTGGGGATGAATGGAGCTGGTTACTCAAAACAGAAGTCCTGAGTGTGATCTTGATGAAGGTGGTCGCTGGCTCCAGTGTTATGCATACATCGTGAGCTGCAGCCACTGAAAGAAGAGTTAGGATTGAAGATACAAGACATGCTGGCATCCTGCAACAAATTTTGGAAGGCAGCTGCTTGCTGACACTTAGTATGGAGCGTCGTAGCAGTGGGGAAATTTGTCTTAGGCTTCTTGCTCCTATTTCTCTTTACCTTGGAAAACTTGAAGGGTTTTTTATGATCTCCCTAGCAGAAGCTGGGCTTTTAAGTTCAAAATTCCTAAGTCTTCTTAATTAGATTTTAAAAAGGTAAAGAACTAACATTATCAGTTAGTGCCGTATCAATACGTTTGATTCAAATTGCCTCCTAAAAATATTTGAGAAGTTTTTTCAAGCACTTTAAAGCTAATATGAAGTGCCATGTCCCTCAGCACCAACTGGAGTCTTGCAGAGCAGCTGTTGCTGGCACATCATGGGTGTTTTCCGTGTAAAATTGGTAGCAAAATTTTGGGGAGGTTTTGTAACCTTTTACCAACTGGATGACAATTTCAGACCAACTCTCATAGGTTCTCTTGAGAACACGTGCAGTGAATAGTAAGGTTATAATTTAGTATTACTAAATACCAACACTGTGTTACAGTGTAAGAAATACTGGTATAAAGCAGTTTACCTCCAGCACGTTGAGCTTAATGATGCCATCTCCATCTTTATCAAAGGCGTGGAATGCCCCTAAAGCAAGGAAACAAAAACATATGGAGTAGATTAAATAATCGTGTGCATAAAGATGTTCCTAGGTAGCAAACCCGATTATGCTCCTGAGCAAACTTGTGCAGGTATTTACTTAGGTGGTCAGCAAGTATTCTGCTGGGGTTTTCCTTAGCTAATACAAGGAGAAACAATGGTTTCTTTTGTGTTTGAATGAGATGGGTGTAGTATTTTAGATTCCCTAAGCACGTATCTCTAATTAGTAATACTATATCCAGGCAGCAGTGCCTTAAACGAGCTTTGCTTTGGGTACGACTACATTCTAGGGGTGAGGAGGGGAGGCGGTGCGGTCAGACCGGGGCAGGCACTCACTGAACATCGCGTCCAGGCGCACGAAGCAGCAGATGAAGCTGTCGAAGTCGATGTTCATGTTCTTGTCTGCGTAGCGCATGGTGATGATGTCGTAGAGCTGGTTGTTCAGCCGAAACCCTGCAGAGGAGCAGAGACAGAGCACAGCTGGGACAGGGGACGCGCTGGTGCTGGTCAGGGCTCCACAGTGGTTTGGCCATAGGCACTTCCCAGCCCAGACGAGGCTCAGGCTGTATCCACTACATAAAATGAAGTATAAGGAGCTTCCCTGTGTCCAGCTGCTTTCTTAAAACAGGCGTAACACTTGGAAACGACAATTTGGGAGGGCTGGTGGCACATGAGTTACCTCACGCTGTGAGTATGAAGAGAGGTCTACACCAAAGAGTGCAGCTTAGCTGGGTCTGGTAAGAGCAAAGCAACAAAAACTGGTGACACAAATATAGGAGGAAGTTGCTGTGAAAACATAATTACACAATAGTTAAAAAATAGATGAGGAGGTAACTCCTTGCTGTGGTGTTCCTGAGCCGTGGTACTGACTGCTGCAGCTTCATCAGGGTCTGACATGATTTGGGTGCTGCTGGTTGTTGGCTATATGAAAGATCATGCACAGCCTACAAGCTGTAAGACTGAGAAATTGTAGTAGTATTATTAGAAATTGTAGTGTTATTATTATTGTAAAATACATTTTAAAGCCAGGTCAGGAGGTATTTAAACCTCTTTTTCTGACATTGACGACATTTCTGGTGAGAATGGAAACCTGGAAGATAAAAATGACCTGAATTTCTTCTGTGGCAGGAGTTCAAATCCAGGTGTAGTTTTGTCCTTAGCAGAGGATCAAATCACTCATGTTTTGTAAAGTACAAGATAGCCATTTGTTTCTGTGCCTTGATGAACTGGTAACTGATGTGCCAAAATACTACTGAAGATGAATTGTCGCTAAATTATTCCATCTAGGTTTATAGTGACACTACAGATTTTATGTTTAAAGAAGTCATCTTGCTCCCTTAGAGAGCTGGTAAAGGTATTTGCTGGGGGAGGCCTGCTGTCCAGGGGAAGAAGCACTCCAGTGTGTTTGAGATCAGAAGCAGGAAAAGTCAAAAGCCTCTCTCTGCAGGATGAATTCCATTAACTGCAAGTTTTGCAAACATTCTTCCCACTGCACAGGTAGAAGTGGAGACCGAGGCCACAGTGGCTTAGTGCCTGAGAAACATGAGCAGGACTCCAGAAGTGTCCATCTGATTGCCTCTTATGCAAACTGGACACTGACCTGCTCCACCTCAGTTCTGTACACGTGGGTTGAAGGTTTTCCAGTTCTTTCTTTGTTACTTACACGGATATACAGAATCCACAGCTTAAAGGAGAGCAAATGTCTTCAGCACTCCCTGGTCCCCTGAACAGCAGGACCCCAAGTGGGAGATCCTTAAGACAGCAGAGCATCATACATTAGAAAGTTTAAAGAGCTGAAGAGATCTACTTAGATGGCAAGACATGGATATTTGAGAAGCTCTGCTGGGGGAAACTCCCCAATTTTTTAATGTCTCCAAGGTCTGTCTTCAAAAGCACCATGTTCCTGATCTCACCCTGTGACACAACAAACCAAACAAGGTTTCTTAGCTGCTGGGCACTGGGGGAAGTACCTGCATCATTGACCGCATTGCGCATCTCGTAGCTGTTAATGGTTCCCGAATGATCCGTGTCGTAACGCTTGAAAATTTTCTGGAAAAGGAAAAACAATAAAGAAACAACAGAAAGAAGCTTGTGCTTGAAGTACAACAGGAAAATGCTGCACTTCAACATCCTGTTCAATGTACCCACTGAGGGGGTGTGGGATGTGTGCCTCGGGCACCTGAGGCTTTGCCATTTGCCTTACACTGCTGCAGCTGGGCAGCCTGGGTTGATAGCACAGAGCTCCTCTCAGAGAGTAAAATAACTTAGGTCCATGCTGTGAGAAGCAAAAAGCTCCCCCCTAGAGATTCTCCTTGTTTGACTTGAGTTTAGTCTGTTAATACTCTCTCTTGATTGTCCTAATTAAGCTATTTGTGAGGCTTGATTCTAGTTCCCATCAGCCTCTTTCTCCAATTTGTATGCCTCTGAGCTAAGTCTCATGAGGGTAGTTCTTACATGAGTACTGGAGCTTCAGGCGATTTGCTTTGGTTGTGAGTAGGATGAGGAGAGGCTTTTCTTTTTATAAGCAATTTTTTCTTTTTATTGCAGCTTTTTAAGCTTTTCTTTTTGCTGTAATATATGTAGGGAGGTCTGGTTTTCCCACACAACCTTCTACACTGTAGAAGCTGTGAAGAACAGCACTGCGGATACCAGCAATACCTGCCAGCTTTTAATCTTGTCCCAGAGATGTCGAAACTCATCAAAGTTTATTCTCCCTGAGCCGTCTGTCTGTGATGCAAACATTCAGGTAAAAAAACTCACAATATTTTAAAGAGAAAATGAATTAAGTCTGTAACTACTGGTGAATGGATGAATGTGAAACTGAGTTCCGGATTTTCCTCAGCATTAAGAGCTGGCTGAGCTGTGCAGTAAAGTATTTGTATTGGTTATTCTGTGTCCAGCTTGGTCCTGGAGCTATTATAAAGGGCATGAGCAGGATGTTTTAGTGGCCTCTTTCCAAAGACCTCCAAATGTGAAGCTTGCCTAAGGTTTTTTAAGACAACTGAGGTTTATCCTAGAGTGAAGCTCTTTCTGCCTTGCTTAAAATGAATTGCGAACTAAGCAAAATAAAGTCACTTACAAACATGTGTTTAGGCTCCAACCATTATGGCTCTGGGTTGTAGTTACAATTTTGCTCTGGTTATGTTTGAATGCACTTTTCTTCTCTCAAAATTATGCATTATGTCAAATAAGAAAACTGAGTGATGCTGTATCAGAGGTAACCCCATGTGTCATTCGCTTGTGTGTTTTATTATACTTGCTCTGAGACTATTTCTGTATGTGTTGCATGCTAAGCACACAGTGGAATGTACAATACATTATTAGCTTAAAGATAAGAAAAATATAGTGAGTTTGTTGGCAAGAAATGTCGTTATGTTGAGTTGGTTTATAAAAGAATTGTCCTTTAGTACCTGGGTTGTCCAGACCCTGCTACCCAGGGAAGGGTAACACATAGACTGATTGATTCTGTAGTTTTCTGGTTTGGGATAGTTTCATCTATGCTCATGTTGAGACATGCCAAAAACTACAGACTATAAAGTACTGTTCTGCTTCCCTGGTTTACTAAGTTGTGTATGTGTGGAGTAGTGGGAAATAGAACCCAACTGGACTAGTGTGGTATCAAACACTCCCCTTTCACCAGAAAAGGATACATCCATTAAAGCAATCATGCTGCGGCAGGATTCCAGTTCAAATCCTTCTGTCCTTAGGTCCTTATCTGAAATAAATGATCCTAGGTGAAGTTCATGTAAGTCATTAAGTGCTTTTTGCTCTTAGGTCTAACCTTACTTGAAGGAGGAGTCAAACCTACCTCCTTTATCCAATAAGAAATGAGTGATAGAGAAATCTGAAAAGAATTCTAAGTAACATTATTGCCTGTGAACTACAGATTACTTTTTTGACCTGTTACATACAATAAAAACCTCTGGAAAACTCTAAACTGACTTCCAGCCAACTCAGGAAGCCCAGAGTGTTGTATCTCTGTTGTATCTAGGCTAAAGTTGGCCAAACAAGGAGACAGGTCTGCCTTGCCATTAAATTTTGCTAGAAATGCTGTATTATCCTGTGGGGTGCTTCCAATCAGCATTTGCTCATTTCCGCACTGTCAGTACTGGATCAGTTGTACAGAGGATCTCTATGAACAGCTAATGCAAAGTCCATGGAAGTCTAACTGGGAAATCTGAGAGTTTGAAACCATAGATAATTTTTAGAGTGCAACTGCAGGGTGGAGGATTACATTATATCACAGATCTCTTTATCCAGGGTTACTAAAAGCATGCTCAAACTCACGTTTTTTTACAACATTATTGAGAACATTCCTGAGTTCTTCAGCATTGATCTCCATGTCCTAGTGGGAAGTGAGGTGAGAATATCATTAATTATAACATTCCTTGATAAACAGATCATTTTACGGATATAGAATCATAGAATAGAGTTAGAAAGGACCTTATGATCATCTAGTTCCAACCTTTGATTTCAAGCCACTGTATGAGCCCAAAACCACAACGCAAATATCTCTGTAACCCATTTGCAGCCTCTTGATTTATACAGTTCTTTGATGTGTCTTTGCTTTTAACTTCCCTTGTTATGCATATACTGAAGGGCACTGCACTTCTGACTAGTTTATACATCTTAAAGTAGTGATGGAAGTAAAAGCATGAATTTAAATAAGGCTCCTTTGTACACAATGGGAATAGCTTATATGTGCATATGAGGATAGCTGTATACTTAATTGGATTTTGATTTGATTTTGCTTAGCTTCAGCTCTCAAAGGAGATTTGATTGAAGCAGTTGATTTAGATGCTATTGTGGCTCAGCTGCTTTGATGGCAGAGGCAGGGATCATTTCCGTACTCACATCCCCTGCAATCTGTCGGAAAATATTCCTGAACTGGTTTTCCTCTTCACTCCCCTCACGAGTTTTTGTTGAAGGACGCTGAAAAGAGACAAGCAAAGAGATACATCCTTAGACCAGCAGGGAAGGGAAAGGCCCTGGACAACTCTCTTGTCCTCAAGCTAGGGAGCCTGTTAGTGAACCTGGAGGCCTTCGGAGGAAAGGGTTGTCCTCCTGTACCTTCCCTTTGTTTTTGGTTAAATGTGTTCCCTGTCAAAACTACTGAGTATTTAACTTCATCCCACTGCTCTCCTTTCTCTTGGAAGGAGCCTAAATGATTACTTTCACTGACAGATGCTTATCTTCTAACTTCTTGTTTCAAAACATTGTGAAGGAGGAGTTTGGGGCAGAAGCAGCATATTTGCTCCATAGCAGCCAGGTAGGCTATGAATTGACCAGAGGGACTTGGGCTTGAGAGCTGCTTTTAATGGGGGGGGGGCCAGGGAGGGGTCTAGTTGAAGCCAAGCAGTACATAAAACAGAGGAAAAAGATGGAAGTGAAGCTTTCTGAGACTGGTGCAAAGAGCAAGCCTGAACTTTGAGGCTGAAAAAGGAGACTGTCATTCCCTCCTCCCCCAATATTTTACTATAGGAATTACATGCAACAAAGCAAAGTGAGTTTGTTGGCTTAGTTCTTATTTTTGTTTGTCTAAATGCAGGACAAATATAAGATTGGTTTCCACTTTTCCACCTGTATGCTCTGGCAGCCATGCAGCAGAGCAGTATGCTCCCTATAAGCAGACATCCCCCATGTCTCCAGATGCCACAAGCATCTTGCTGTTGCATCTCACATCTCTCACCCACCTGCAGGCAGAAACTCTGAATTTGCTACCCCATGTTTCTCCTCTTTGGTAGTAAGAGAAAAGAGGAAGGTGCAGGAATTCCTGGGTTTATTATCCTTTTCTCCTCTGGCCAACAGGGACTGGTATATAGATGTGTAATTTGTAACGGGCAGAGGCTGTGGTCATTACGAGGAGCTCCTGAAGCCCCTCAGGTGCAGTTTATGGATGTGCTCCATGTAAAGCAGGTACCACTTCAGGGGGCTGAGTGGTACCTCTGTGCTGCTCGTGGGGAAGGGATCTCTCACAGCTGGGGTCCTTGTATGAGAGAGGAACCAGGAGATGTTTTCAACTAAACCCTCCAGCATGGATGTTAAATAACTGAAGGGATGGTCTCTTGTTTGCTCATTAGATCCACATAAACCAGATGCAAGCTACGCTAAGACTTGAAAAGCTGTTAAGTATTTCAGGACACTTCTTTGCCCCATTCCTGTCGTCTCCCCAGCCGTTCTTTCATGTTAGCCAGACCAATCCCTATTTCCCCCTTTGCCAGTTGCTGCAGAAACCTTTTTCTCATCTACGTGGGTTTTTTCGCCATCTTTGCCAGCATCTTCATCTGCATTCAGCTCCTTATTGCTGTTGGCTCTGTCAGAAACAAAGATGATAGGCTAGAAGAAGAACAAAGAGAGCAAAACAGACATGGAAATTACACAAGAAATAGTAGAAGGAAAAATATTCGGCGACAACCATTTTGTGGTTAAAGCACATGCAGCAACAGCTCCTGACAGTGCGACTGGAGAAGCCAGAGCTGGGAATGAAATAAAAGAAATCAAAAAAGAAAAAAATATTGAGGAATTTCCAAAGTTATTGCTCTCCTCATGTCAAAAAACTGCAAAAGTCTTTGCAAAATCGTGCAGTCTCTGGCTTCTTTTAGAAAGCCAGTTACCACTTAAATATGGTTGGGTTTTGTTTGTTTTAAGCTTCTCAAATTCTCAGTTAAATGATGAACATGCACCTCTCTATGAAGGATGGTAGCACTGAAGGCAAACAGAATCTGTATCCTGCACAGAGAAGTTATATTTATGTAGGAGCTTGTTAGTTATGTGAAGTAGATGTTCTTTCTTTGTATTAATTCTTGAAGTATTCAGCTGTAAGCAGCTCATACAATGGTTTTGGTTCAGTGCATTACAATCAAGGAAAGCTGCTACAAGATGCAAATGTGTTACCCTAGAGTATTAATTGCAATCAGCCTCTTTGAGATTAAAATGTCTGATTGCATTTTCAAGGTCCTAAATACGCTGCGTAAAATTGAAAGAATAATCCTGGACTGCAGGAAAGAGAAGTAGCTGCCTTAGGCAAGAGAAAGCAAACGTGAGGGCATGTATCTGGAAAAGGGGTGCTTCGCAGTAGGAAGGGGTGTCAGGGTGCCTGTAAAGGGCAGTTTGAGCAACCCAGAGGATCAAGCTTATAAAACTGAAATGGTTTTGTTACCCTTTTCCCACCCCCTTGGGTGAGAGGGTAGGGGGGGTATATGATGCTAATGCTATTTCATTAGACTTCAGTATAGGAAGACAAAGTCTTTACTGACTGCAGATGGCCTCTTATCCGATGCCCTTCATTAACTACATCAGTTTCCGGATGCAGAAAAATCGTGATACCAAAGAATTCTGCTCCCGTCACATGCATTGCACATGCTTTTTGCATTGCTGGCACTCAGCACATTGCACAAATACCCACCTTGCCCTTTTTCTTTTTCTGTACAAAAAGAGACAAAACATAAAATAAAGAAAAAGGTGCTTTAAACCAACAGAATTACAGATTTTGTCCAGATTATGCAGAGCTGATGATAAAGTTGTTTGGTTTGGGTTTTTTTTTCTCTTGCCCTTTCTGACATTTCTCATTCTCGTTTCCTATGTTCACACAGTTTTAAAATCTCCAAAAATGAGGGAAAATGCAGACACCAAAAAATTGACAAAAATTGCAGCAACCATAGCAAGACAGTGTCCCATCTCATCTGGAGCTTTTTCTGCTTGAATAAAGTCTCTATTGTACCTTTAGCTTTGTCGATTCCTTTTTCCCAACCTCTCAGTGCAGTGGAGATTGGACTTCCATGCCTGCAGATCAATGTTATCTGAAGTGGCACCTTAAATTCCACCTGATCTGAGCACATATTTTGTTATCATGACAGCAAATGAAAGATTATCACTTCCGAGCAAGGTTTGATGGAGCTCAATTCTGTGCAAGAGCATTTCCTCTGTTTTTTATCCGCAGACTAATTGCACTGTACTACATAGCTCTAGTATTTTCCCACAAAGAGGTGTAAAACCCCGGGCTGAAGTTTGACTGCTAGTTTGAATCAGATTATCCTTAGGATCCCTTTCCAGAAAGCATGTACTTCAAAATAATATATTTCTTTCTTTATTAGATGAGGAGCCAATCTCACAAACAAAATATCTTGAGGCACAGAGCTAGGCCTTCCAGGTAAATGAATAAGATCCACTGATTGAGGCAAAAGCAATGCTTAGCATCCAGCTCCTTTGTGCCAGGACCGGATTCCAAATCTGGCACGAAGACTTTGTTCTGACAAAATCAGAACGTAGTATACAGAAAGCAAATGCTAATAGAAGTATCTTGATGATTTATCTATTTATGTGGGAATTTATGCTAAAGGAGCTGTCACGGGGCTGCAAATAGTTTCCTGCTGTAGGATTCCCTAGATGTGATGCTTCTCCTCTCCCTACCCCTATTCATGTACAAAAGAGGCCCAGGACGGTACTTACCGATGGACGTTCTGCCTCAATCATGTTTTCAACCTCTCTGGAAGAAAGCAGAAAGTAAATAAATCAGGGAAGTGACTGTTCCCAATGTAGCTTGTTTCTATAGCTGGTGTATAAGCAGCCACTTGAACCTTCCAAACGGCCAGTGGTGTGGGCTGGCTTCCAAGCATTACAGCTGCAGACTGTAGGTGCAGCTTTTTCCCAATTTGAGCTGAGCATCCCAAGTACCACTTCTAGGAGGGCTGCTGCCTGGTTTACTCTTCTAAAGAGCCTTGGTAACACTGAACTTGAGTTTCTGGGAGTGAAATAGCTCTTTGGCCTAAGTAGAGTGATCCTGGCTGTAATTTGCTGAGCTCTGGGAAACTAATCGAAGAGCAGCATTGAAAAGAAATAACTACCTACTTCTATGTTTCATTTGTGACTGAAATTAGATCTGATTCAATGATCTACCTGACCAAAACTTCAGCCAGTGGCATACAGCAATAAAAACCAAACAGGTTCATTATTAAAAAATGGCTAATGGTACGTTTACAAAGGATATCCTGCAAATAGGAAGCTTCTCCAAAGACGATTCAAAACAGGTTCTCTCCCTCTTTCTAGAAGGGAAGCTCAGGGAAATTAGTTTGTAGCTTGGGGTTTCCAATGAGTTTTAGAAAATTAAAATCAGGGTGTAGCAAAAGGGGAACATGAGTATAGCAGACTAGTGAGCGCTCCTCCATCTTTCCAGCCAGTTAAATGGATCTGCAACTTACTCTGAAAGACTTCTTTTCTCTGAGAAGACCCTCAGGATGAATTCTCCCTCCTGGTGGGGTTCGTATGTTGATGGGATGATGACGTACTCGCTGGGAGGTAACCGGAAGCGCTCAGAGATTTCTCTCATGTTTATATAGGTCTTACTTCTAGCTTTGGAGGCATTGTAGAGGAAAAAGTCCTTTTGCAAGTGGTGCTTAGTACCATGCATCTGCAGAACAAATGAGTCCATTTGTCTTCAAGGAAGTCTCATCCATTGCCCAGGTGGCTTGTCGTGTGGGCAGTACATGGTTGGGACAGAAAACACAAATGGAGCAGCAGCTTAGCAAGCAAAGAGCTGACAAGGGATGCCAGCTGGTAACAGATACTGGGTCTGTTATCTTTTAGTTGCTACTGGCTGGGTCTAGTTGGCTTCTGAGGGCTTCTGTGTACCTTTAATATGCTTTCTTCAATGGCTGAAAATGCCATTGTTTTTTCCCAAAATTCTAAGACTATAGAGAAAATTCTGTGGCTGCAGGATATAGGTAATTGGCATTATTTGCAGGAGGAAATGGAAATGGTTTAGGGTAGTTCTCCATTGAGTGCAAAGGCAAAGTGCTTGCTGATGCTGCTTCCTTCAGCCCAAGCTCACTGACATGCAAGCTATGGCCAGGTCTCTTACGGAATAGATAAGAAGGGCTGAGGAAAAGGTGCAAGTGAGAAGGAACTAAAAATTACCCACAAAATGTTACTAATGAACACTCAAAGCAGGAAGGTCAGCAGTTTCACTTCTGTTACATCCCTGAAAACAGACCTCACTGGGCAGTTAAGACAGGCACAATAGTAACACTAGCTGTGAGTATACACCAAGATGTCAATCTGCCTCCGTTCTGCTCATACCTCTTTGGGCACCTTAGGGAGAAGCAAAGAGAAGAAACAGTCAGAGCTGTTAGTGAGTCCACTCATTTATAGATCATACAGAAAGGTGTTCACATAGATCTCTGGGGACACAGCCAGTAATTAAAATGCCCCAAATTAGATAAATATGCTAAGCAATTTCTTTCCTCCTTTCTAGATTTCTTGGAATCTACATGAGATCTACTAAGATCTGAACTGAATATGTTTGTGCAAAGGACTGAATAAATTGACTTCCTCATGAAGTCAATAGCAGGGGCAGAGTTTAATCAGTGCCTATGTGTCTTGGATATGTTTCCTTTTTTACACTATTCTGCCAATGAAATAATCAGTTTCAGCAAGGATGAAAGGGAGACGGAAGAATTTATGGGAAAGGGTATGTTCAGATCTGTCAGTAACTCATTACAGAAGCTTAAAAAGTGTGTTACTTATAGACAGGGCAGAACCTGGGGTTACCATGGTCTGAATGGTTACATAGCCTTTACTTGCAAAGTAAAGATTGCAATTCATGTTATCAGGCTGAATGATTCAATGACTCTGTTGGTAAATGCATAGTGTCAGGATTTGTGACTGTGGTGCAAAGAATAAAGCCTAGAGCTGATACCTCATAGATGGCAAAGCCAATGGTGTACAGGTTGGCTCCCAGCTTGCGTTCTTTCCTCCTATTTTTCTGCATCAGTGCGACAAGGAAGCTGCAGATAACCTGCTCATCCTCAGGGTCATCATCTTCCTCCAGGAGCTTCAAGCGGTACTGGGGATTGGTCCAAAATGTATCTGTGAAATCCCACCAACAACCCAAAGCAAACATGTAATACTTCAGTTTTCTGATGACACTCATGATCAAAGAGAACGTTTAAGTCCCTGTCTGTGGTTCCTGAGGGGAAGGTTAAAACTGGGCTAATATGTATGTATTTTTCATATGCTAAGGGGTTTACATAGTTCTAACAAAATTGCACACCAAAGGAGGATATAAAATGAAGAACTGGCATCTGGCAAACTTCAAAGCACATAAAACAATAAGGAAGTGGATTTCCCAAGTGAAATCTGTTGGAGTGAAAGTGGTCTCTTTTATCTTACTTGGGACTGTGAAGTATTTGAACAATGATTTCTCTTTGCCAGACCTGCCTTTTGGGCTTATAAGGTGCTGTCACAAACATAGTGACAGACTATTTCCAGGTACAAACCATGTGCCTGATCCGCTGAGGAAGCAAGGCTTTTCCTTCGCTGAGCACTTATCAGGCTGTGATATGACTTACCCTGTGGTATCTAATTCAGTCCCCACCAAAGAGGCTGCATCTCCCAAGCCCCATTGCTTACCTGGATAATTGCGGCAGCCTCCAGCTGAGCAGCCCCTCACCCAGCGCCCTTCATTGACTGACACAGTCCAGGTCTGGAGTTTATCAGCTTCCAGAGTATCAGGTGTGAGGTTACAGATCTCAAGTTTTGTGAAATGCCTCATGAAATCTTCAAATGATATCCTGGAGGAATTGAGGGAGAGGAAACTGAACCCAAATGGATTTACATGGTGGGCAGTTGTGTGAAAGATACTGGTGAGGTGGAGGAGGGTGACCAATGATACTGCCATTATTAGGGGAAGTTCACTATGACAGTGCCATGTTTCCTAATGCATTTGGGCTGCTCTTTGGTCAGTTAGGACAATAACAGCTCCAAACTGGGGGAAAGTGAGCTGAGAAGATGGTACATAGCAAGATGATGGACAACTTCTGGAAGTGTAGCATAGTTAGAAGGACTGTACCCGTGACACTCAATAAACCCTGGTGGAGAATGAGGGGATTGCAGAGCAAGGCTTACTGGGAGTATGAAGGGGAACAGGGATTGCCATAATGGTTGTATCAGATTTAAGTAGTGCAGTGTGATTCATTTTTGCTATGGTTGTGTATCTCCTAGAGAAGCACAGGGGTTTGACAGATGTTCTCACCAGAACTCCCCATCCTCCGCAATCTTGTGCTGCAGGCGGATTTTCTCTTCTTCATTAATAGAGGTCCATTCCTCTGACCTTTGAAGGAGTAAACAAGTTAGATTATAATTTTATAATACAGTTTTCATTAAAATTTCTACTTTTTACTGTAAGCCATGTAGAGTGGAAAGTCAAGAGTCATCTTGCTACATCCATTTACTTTTTTCCCTTTGAGAGCCTTGCAACCATTTGTTTTCAATGCTACCCTCTGGTCCACATGCCCAAATAAAAAAAAGCAGTTGTCTTACTTCTCTCTGCCTTCCCTTCAGGCTTCCTTTTAGCAGCAGCTAAAAATCCACTGAACTGTGTTCATTTTATTTTATTTAGCCTGAAGAAAAAAGTGTTTGCAGACTCTCATTGCTGGAGCAGCTGCTGAAATTCCTATTAGTAAAACCTAATGACCAGCTTTATCCAGACTCACTCTTGTACTGACATCTTGATTCATCCAACTTTGTCATAACTTAAAAGATTTCTCTACTGTCACATCTTGTTTTGAAAACGGACATTACTGAACTTGCTAGGCAGTAAAATTAGATTGACTGTGCCATTCGACTGGGTTCTCTCTTCATTTCCATTGATTAAAACCTCTCAACATCTTTTTTTTAGGTACTTTTCCTTTTCACAGTTTCAGCTAAGCACTCAAGAATGACCAAATTTGAAGTGCAGGTGTCTAAAATGACCACAAAGACAACTCACACACTTCATCAATAAATATTAGGGTCACTCACAAGCCACTCTTGGCAAAGAAACCTGCAGTCTTTTTCTTTTCAAATCATGTGAAGCTGTTTACTCACTTGTCACTCCAAGGTCCATTCCATTCCACCTGTCCCCAGGGGTTTCTCAGCCTTACCAGACGTATTTTTTCCCCTTTAAATGTTGTCTAATTGAAAAAGAATGCAACAAGAATAGACTGAGAGTAGGGTCAAAGGGAACGTTCTGCCTGTCAAACTGCTGATACCAGTTCCTCCAGGGACAGTGCATTCCTGGACCATTACCCAGCCTAACCTGCTGGGGAGGGTTGTAAGACCAGGAGGTGACTGGCTGTGGCCACATCTGCCCAAGTGGTGGAATATCCAGTTCCCCAGAAAGCCAAGATAGGTGGATAGGTGACATGTCAATTCTCAGTAGAGCATGCCATTGCCTATCAGGAGAGGGTTCTTTTTCACATGTACTGCAGTGAAGGGCAGGAAAGGGACTGTACATACCTCTTCCACAGCTGTGACTGAGTAGGCATGACCTTTGACGAGCCCACAAGACATCCGGGTTTCATACTGCATTGGCACTATGGTCTGTTAGACACAAGATAAAATCTTACATGAGTAATGAAAAGCTCCACTGGCTGCTCTAAGGCAGGTAGTGCACCCAGGGTTTTTGGAGGAAGTTCAGGTGAAAGGTTTTTGTGTCTTGTTCTCCTTGTGTTTGCCAAAGTGGCCAAGCTTAGTGCTCACAGACTAATGTTATTGGTTAGAAAGGAGTGGAGCATGAACTTAAAAAGCAGAGAGTTAATAATATGAATTGGAAAGGACATTCTATGATTTACTTTTTACCTTTATGTAGGTTAGTGCTTAGCTAGCATTTAGCACGTTTAATCAAAACACCTAGATATTGTATTAGTACGACTATTCTGCCTTTTCTGGGATAGTATGTTCTTGTATGGCTCAGTAAGTTTATTGCATATTAACTGGAAATATCAGAGCACATCAACACTTAGAATCATAGAATGGTTTGGGTTGGAAAGGACCTTAAGATCATCTAGTTCCAACCCCCCTGCCATGAGCAGGGACACCTCCCACTACACCAGGAACACTTTCATCTTTACACACGGCTGCTATATTATCACAATGATATTAAAACACACTATTTAATAAACTGTTCCTACTAATATACACTATTTAAAAAAATTAATTTCCCATGGAATAAGATGTACATTTCCACAGGAAATTTATCCTCATGATTGAATTTTTTGTTTCTTCAGCAAATGTGTTGCTGAGGAGTAAATACATTTTCTGTCTTGGTAATCAAGTGTTAGTGTGTCTCATAGATTGCTTCCCCCTCCTCCATCATGTCTGTCACTGAGAGATGCCTGTAAGGCCCTGCCAGTAACTCTGGTATCCCTTCCTGACATATCTGTGGGCATGAGAAAGGCAGGGCTGGAAATGGAGAATTAGTAAAGTCACACAGATACATTCTCAGCTTGCTCATGGAGGATCTCATGCAAATGTTTCCTGGCTGTCATGATTATCTTCCATTATTTCCCTTTTCTTCCTGTTTCTTTTTCTTTCTTGCTACTGTTTCTGTACTTTTTATGCCTATAACCTCATATCTATTTCCTTTTTTCTTCATTTCCACTCACATTGTTGCCATCATTACTTATCAGAACCCTTTTGTGTTTAAGAACATTAACTTCTGCTAGTGCTCTGGGCCACTTCTCTAGGCAGCCTGCACTGTCTGCCTCTTTCTGTCATCAGGAGTCATGCTTGCAACACAAGGCAGTCATCCTGGGCTTTCCCGAAGAATCACATCATTTCAGTCTTTTGGAAAGACTAAATATGGTTGTCAAAAGAGGAAAAGTCAGCTATTTCCGCTGCAAATACAGAGCACAGTTTGCACAACCAAAAATTTGAGATTATGTAATTGTGGAGGTTTTGTTTGTTTTGTTTTTTCCTTTGTTGTTGGTTTGTTTTCTGGGTTTTTTTCTTTTCCTTTTTTTATTTCTCTGTAAAGCAATCAACGTAATTTCATTGTCATGGAAATACTCTCTTAAAGTGTGAGGTATTACAGCTGCCTGGCAGAGAGAAGGAAGAGGCAATGAGGCAGTTTGTCCCTCCACACATTTGAAAGCTTTTAAGTTTACAAATAGAGGATTTTTCTTAAGTAGTTTTAACATCCTTCTCTTTATTTTGCTAGATTCTTAGGAATGTTGGAGTTACTTAGTATTTTATCACGCACACAAAACAACATGTTTTTCTTTCCCTTGTTAGGCTTTTTAAATGAGGGTATTAACGGCAGTAGTCTAAAAAGAGCATCTCAAGAACAGGCCCCTCCATCTGTGGGCAGAGCCCCATAACACTCTCTCTCAAAATAAGTTCACCAAGTGCTTTTGTGCCTGGAGGGAGCTCCTTGCAGAGTTTGCTTTTTCTTCCATTCACATCCCCACACACACTAGAGGATCTTTTCCTGTTCTAGTATTTTAATTGTCTTGTTCTCAAGCAAGTAAGGGATTTGGTAACAAACACCCACTAATCCTTTCCTGTTCTGAAAATGATAAGCCTGTGCCACAAGCCAGCAGTATAAGCAAATCCTTCTCCTATCAGTCACCGTGTTTGAAAGCACTGAAGTCTTTTAACACATATGTCAAATAGCATCTGTAAGAACAGGTCTTTAGTGTTGGGATAATTCAATGAAGCCAAATAAGGATTTAAAAGCATAGGTGACATGTTTCTCTGGCTGTCTGTAAATAAAAGCCCTGTGAAGTCAATCACTTCTGGAGACATACGAACCCAGGCTGGCCTCTCATCTGTTGCCTGGTAGTCCACAGTGGGGTAACTCATCTGTGAGTTTTCCAGATTCTTCACCATTCGAGAAATCAGTTCCCCAATGTCGCCCCGAGGAGCCGATCCATAAGAAAAGCCAAGGTGATCCTGGTACAGAGAATGGGAGAAAAGTATCATGCAGGAAGATGAGGCAGGGGAAGAGAAGAGAAATCATACAAGATGCGTAGCAAAAGATAACCTAGATAACTCCTCCCTCATCATGTCTATACTTATCTGCAGTGGTTGATAGCACTGGTTGTTTTCCTGCCTTTACTGTAACTTCATAATCCATAATGGTTACTGAAACCAATTTTTTTTAATCTTAAATTTTCCACAATAAATTAAGACAATTTGAGGCTATGTTATCAATCAAAAGGTTAAATTCCTAAGTGCTGGCACAGTTAACATCTTTGACATGAAGATTTGTGTCTTACAGAGTTGCAGCACCTCCATACTAATTTCATTTCACTGGGCAAGGGCACGGAGGCTGGGATGATGCTGCTTTTGTTGATCACATCCCTTCTCTCCACCTCCATAGAATACTAGTTCCAAACCCATGTTCTGCTTCTGTTCATTTCCCTTTTGGCTCTTGTTATTTACTAATGCATGATGTCTAGTGGAGATCACTCCAATCTCCTAGATATAGATGTTTGCTATGTGAACTAAACCAAGCAGCTCCAAAAGGCAGCATCTATTTGATTACGTATTGAGAGGTCCCTCTCCTCTGCCACTTCTTATGGCTCATCAAAAAGTTCAGATGGACTCACATCAATGGAACTGGCCATAAGGGATCCTCTGTCAATGGCATGTTTCATGATTTTGTAGATATCTTTTGGGGCATCCTTTATCTCATAGAACTCTGTGACTCCTCCGGTGAAGTCCTCCATGGCTTCAGTGGTGTTCCCTCCTTTCAAAGCTTCATATGACCCATGTAGTCTTGGAAAGAGAAAAGAAAAAGATTCCCTTTTACATAAATAAGGATAGGCATGTATATATTTTTACTTATCTTGTGTGTGTATGAATATAGATCAGTAAACACACATACTAAGAAAACCCACAAACCATTTGTTTGGTAACCCACAAGTTAAAAGTTTTAAAAAATGCCACCTGCACACATTAAAATGAAAAAAAGAGAAGATATGTTGAGAATCAAATTAAGACCTCTGAATGAGTAGCAAAACCCCTAGAAAATATGCTCTACCCCATCCCCAATTTTGAGGCATAAGAATCTAGGAAAAGGCTCTGGTATGTTCAGAGACTGTCTATGTGCTCATTGTAACTCCTGTACTGAGTGGTTCAACCACTTCTCCAGCCGAAGTCTTGGGGGGGAGCCCAGCACAGCCTGGTGGGTCTTTTACTTTGCATAGGCCTTTTCCAGGAGGGCGCTCCAGAACTCGTTGCGCTGGGAGGACTTGGTAAAGACCAGCTGGTTGTTGTATGTGGGTAGGCAGTCATCGATGACGACATCCACCCAGTCTCCATAGCGCCAGAACTGAACAAAGGCAAACAGAAAAACATCTGGTTGGCTTGGTGCAGGGAGCGGGAGACTGGCTGAAAAGCTGGGCTGGGAGAGCAGAGATCATAGAGCCATAGAATGGTTTGGGTTGGAAGGGACCTTAAAGCTCATCCAGTTCCAATCCCCTACAATGTGCAGGGACACCTTCCACTAGAGCAGGCTGCTCCAAGCCTTGTTCAACCTGGCCAGGGATGGGGCAGTCACAGCTTCTTTAGGCAGCCTGTTCCAGTGCCTCACCACACTCACAATAAATAATTTCTTCCTTACATCTAACATGAACTTCCCCTGTTTAAGTCTGGACCCATCACCCCTTGTCCTATTGCTACAGTCCCTGATGAAAAGTCCCTGTCTGGGGAAATGTAGAAATTGACTGCTTTGCAATGTGGCTACTGGGAGGAAGGCAGCCGTACCAAATTCCCCTGGGCAACACGTGCAGGACAGTGAGAAGTCCCTTAGGAGAGCCAAGGGAAATGTGGAAAGCAGTCAATCTTTTCTGAATAAGCAGTTCTTCAATAACTTGTTTTTGACAAACCACCTGTTTGAGGGCCTAAAAATAGATGCTCTTGCCAACTACCCACGTGTCTGTGCTGCCTGTAGTGCTTCAGCTGAGCTGGGAGACAGGATTGGGCACCTGTTCCTATCCCTTACACACAGGACATGGCAATCTGCAAATGCTTCCTGAGCAGGTTAATGATAATTGCTGGTAGGGACTGGCCCTTCTGCGACTGCCCTGTTGGAAGAGTTTGGGGTGATGCAATTCAATTCCTCTTCCTTCCCCACTGTCACTCATGCTTCCAAAGGATGGAGAAACGAGAGGCAAGAGCATGCCAAGAGCTGAGCTCTCTCTTGGGTAAATACAGTCACAACTGCTTTCCACTAGATGAAGCGACTCACCTGGAAGTGGAAGATGCCAGCATAGTTTTGTATGAAGGACTGGTCGTGAGGTATGACTTTACAGAGTAGTTTTTTATTCAGTGTCAGGCAAGCAATGGCAGCCAGGAACCAGCAGTCACCTGTGACGGAGCAAAAGCAGCAGAGAAACTGAAGGCAGAGAGCAAACAGAAACAAAGGGAGAACTTGAGATATTGGAAAGCGACACGTTAATTCTCAGTAGGGCATGCCTCACCTTTCAGGAGAAGGCTCTTCTCTGTGTGTTCTGCAGTACTTTAACACTTTATTTGTGCTCTGGAAATGCTCACTGGCATCATTCATGGCTAGGAGCATGCCTATTAAATAGGTGATGTTCCCTATAATATAGAAAAAGCCTAAAATTCAATCAGTGCTGTTACCTGTGTTAAGATTTCCCTGTCCTATGTGAATGCATATCTAACTTTCCATAGAATCATAGAATAGCTAGGGTTGGAAAGGACCTTGAGACATGCTAGTTCTCCTTCCAAGCTTAGGACAGACACCAGCTGAGAGGTAATTCTTTCTCAGGTACAACTGAGGTTCTGTTTCTCGTGTTCATTTTGTGCTTTGCAGATAACCCACTGACCCAGTCATGGTTCAGTGGGGCCTCTTTCCTGCTTCATTGCTCTGACACGTTTTCCTCTTCTTGAATCTGTGTCTGCACTCTTGTAAACACTGTGTGCCCCCTTTAGTGCTTTGCAGTTCCTCCTTCAGGCCCTTGCGTAAGTTTGCTGCCTCTGTGGGAACTCTGGGAAAGTGACTTTCTCCCATAGTACTTCTGTGTTCAGCAAAGAATGCCTCAACCCTTAATTAAACCTCTTAGCTGCTGCTGAAAGAGAGATTATAGGATAAGCTTGCCTGAGCAGTGTGAATTGGTAGGGGAAGAGAGTTATACAAGGTAGTGAAAACTAAACCTGATTGGAGGGAGTTGGAAAAGAAGTTTAGGAAACTGGTGGAGTGATAAAACTTATAGAAATACATATGTGTATATATTTTGAAAGGTAACTCTACACATATAGCAGTACATTTTAAGTTATCTATTTCCCCTTAGGAAGGATGTGGGGTCCACTGTGACCAGGAGTTTTCTAAACTATCCCATGTTCAGCAGAAGTCAAAAAGGTGAACAATGCTATGTGTAGATGAGGAGGGAATGGAAGATGAAAGAGAGAACATATTAAGCCAGATTTAAATAAATTAAAAAGGAAAAAAAAGTACTGGGAAGGTGATGAGGAAAGTCATGAGCACAGAACAGCACTTAATGAAAAGATTAACACAGTTAGGATGTATCAGCTCAGGGGAAAGGCTACAGGAGAATGTGGGGAATGACTTTACAAAGCAGTGCAGGTGGGTGTTGCAGAGGCTTCACTTGTTCCTAAGTAGTGGCTTTAAATACCGAAGTATCTTTAAGCATCTGAGCTTAAGGTCTTAAATATAAGGGTTGTCTTTGAGTACAAGGCTCACTTAGCTGGAGGCTTTCAGAAGCTCCTGTATGGAAATAACAGGACTAAGTACCTAAAAAAATACAACAGTAGCTGATTAGGTTTTTCTCACAGTCAACTCCTCTTTATCTCTTGTTCTTAACTAAGTTTTTCCCTCTTCAAAGACTGCGGGAAAGGCTGGATGGTGTTTTGTAACCCACTCATGGTATTAGTTTATGAAGAGTAAACTATGATGCAGACTGCAAAATGTGCAGAATGTAAGTAACAATCTCATACCTAATTCTCCTTGGCAGATATCTGTTCTGTTGGCTCCACCAATAATAAACCGTGGATTCTCACAGATTTCCTGCAAAATAGAAACAGATGGATGAGCAGAAACAGCATTCACCATGATGTGTTTGCCATAGAATTAAAGGCTGGTTTAGGACAATGTTTTCCTGCAGGATACTTTGTGGATATCAAAATCTCTTGCAGAGTTGCCACCTACAGAGTTTCACTATGAAAATGTTCTGGAATCTGGATGTTTCAGACTTCAGCCAGACTTTTATCCATGTATCTACAGGGTCTAATAGTTAGTCTGGGGGAAATCTCAGAAATAACCAATTGCTGGTTGAGAGATTTTCTTCTTTTCCTCATGTTGCAGTATTAAATTGCCAATGTTGCATTCAGAAATGCATACAGGTATCATCTGACTCTGAGGACAGGAAGGTCATCTTTTGTCCTGCAGTTAGGACAATGCATTGGGTTTGTCAGTATTTATACTAGTGCAGAATGTGCACAAGATACTGTACAGGCATAAATAATGAAGGAATTACTGTAGGGAGGGAAGGACTATGTAGGAACTACCAGCAAATGAGGTTGGGACTATTTCAGGGTAACAGAGTCTTTTTCTATATGGGACAAAGAACTGTGGGGTATAGGAAAACCAAGGGAAGAATTAGGTACAACCTGCCCTATAGAGGAAAAAAAGTCCCTCCTTCATCCCATCTCTCATACCCAAATACTTACTATGGAGAAGAAAAAGAAGACGTTGGGTAAGGAAAGAAAGATAATGCAGCCTCAGAACTGCTTCCCTGAGCAGCTGCAAGTGGGAAAGAAGATGAAGTGTAGTCCAAGAACCCAATGTGTTGGAAGATGACAGGGCTGGAGTGGAAAGGAGAGGAAGAAACAACTGACAATTGCTTGTGTGGCAGTACAGGCAGCTGATGCTACCTCTGAAGTCTAAAACTTTTTTCCCCATATCATTAGGGTAGCCCTGGATTTTCCCAGACACATGTTTCAGATCTAGTAGTTTCACTTGGCTTGAGCCCATTCTTTTGCTCCTTCACAATAACCAGCAGAGTTGCTTTGATGTATATATTTGGATTAGTCACACAGCCAGATAGAGAGAACAGCTTCCGACAGTCACCTTATTCTCCTTGAGGAAGGAAGTGGAGGGATTGTCCTGTTATTATGGGCCTTGGTCAGCTGTCCTGGGATGCAGCGCTGTCAAGGCAGCTGTTTGAGATGCCTTCGTGCTTTTCTCCACCCACTTGCTTTGTTGAAAATACTCTTCCTCACATTGCTGTGGTGCTCTCCTGAAAACTAGCTGTTAGATGCCAGGTTTATGGATTGCTTTATTTTTTACAACTATTACTGTATTTTGGCTTGATCCTGCTCTTCTTGAAGTAACAAGCTCTGAAATCCAGCATGCTGTGTTTCAGATGAACATAGTTAGATGGTGACTAAGTGTTTACAAACATTAAGTGTACAGCAACGATTGTGACTTAGAGCCATTCATTACATCCTGAGCTTGTTTGCTTTGGAGGGTGGTGGTAAAAGAATGCGAAGAAGGGAATCATACAGTTGCCACATAGGCTGATTTAGCCGTGACAGAAATGCTTTTCTTGCATTTCTTTGTGGTGACCAGGTGCACTTAGTGCACTGTGGATGTGCTTTTAATGTTGTATTGCTCTAGTTCATTGCCAGCTGTGCTCGCGGTGCTGAGTACAGCTGAAGTTACAGCGAGAGGTTTCAAGGTCTTCCAAGGCTGATGAAAAGTACTCAGCCAGCAGTGTGAGACAACATGTTGATCAAGATGCAAGTGGCAGGTCTGTCCTTCCAGTCTTCCTGGCTAAGCAAGGGATTGGTCATCATCTCTTAGGTCAAGTTATCGCAGAAAAATACTGATAGGCTGCACTTCACTGATGCAATGATTCATCTAGAAGGAGCCTCCTCTGACCCGAGTGCCTCAAACTGCCTTGGTATTACCCAAAGGACCTTTGTGTTCACTGGTTTGGGTTGTAATTTCCTTACAAAAGATCAAAGTTACAGCAAGGGAGACAGAATCCTAGGGGAAAACGCATTGGAAGTGCATGCACTTCTGGGAAGAGGGTATTTATGAGTCAGTTGGAAGGGAGCACTGGAAAATGCAGAGACAGCGTGCAACTAAAAATGGCATTTGACCTTTGTTATATTTTCATTACGTTTTCCTCTGTGTCAGGAAAAATCCTTCAGTCAGCTTATACTGTTGCAGCAAAAGGCATTTATTCCTTAGAAACTGCTGTTACTGAACTATGGAATTCTAAGAAAATTCCCTAAGATGATCCTACCAAGTAGCTGAAACATCTTCTTTGGCCTGCCTAAGACAATCTGTAGCCTCATGCTTCTCCCTTGGCCTCTCACGGTCTAGACCATGCTTTAAACGGCTGTGCTGCATACTTCAAGGCAGAGCTCGACATTGTCAGACATCAAGTTGGTTTTAAAGCCTGAGTTGGATGCCCTCATCTGAAAGCCCTGCCTTGGTGGCACTAAATGATGTTTTTACTGTGTGGAACTGCTTGCAGAGGCACACATTTTGTGACCACTACATTCAACATCTTCACACCTGTGCAGCAGATGATCTAAGCCATTTTCCTTCTAAGCAAAACCCACTACTCTGCTGACTCAATTTTATTTGTGTTTGTTATGCAAAGACAGCTCCTTCTGCTGATTTTCTTGGCTACACGGAGGCTTACCATAGAGAAGTCATTGAATCTGGCAGTTAATGCTGTGACCTCCTGGCTGTAAGCAAGGAGAATGATCGTGGAGCATTTGAAAGCACACATGGGAGAGTCTCCCTATTTATGTCCTAGTGTCATTAGATCCAAACAGGACTGCAGCAGGACCTCTCCATACTCTGCATTATGTTATAACACAGGCTTTTTCTCAAAGATTAGTGACTGGTCCCTGATCTCAGCTGAGAGAAGCTGCCCCAGGCAACATAGTGCAGGAGGCTGAGGCTGTTAGAAAAGCTGAGCACAGCCCATCACTAAGCTCGATATAAGCTGATGCAGGTGAGAGTGGCTCTTTGGGCTTCTCTTACCTCCCATGGCTGAGTGAATGTTTAATATGCATTCACTCCCATCTACATACCTAAACCATGCTCATGCATACCCTGAACAGAAACACTGGAAGAATCCTGCAGTCTTTACTCAGGGAAACTTTCAGGGCTGTCACTTGGCTTTTGCCTGACTAGAGCATTAGGAGGTCTGCTCCGTGCATTCATATCATGGCATGGCAGTCACTAGCTGGGTAGAGTTACAGGGACCTTCTCGCTGCCCAAATGGCAAGGCTCAGAGCTGCACTGTGTGGCAGCCGTCCTTCTGTCAATAAGGCACAAGAACAGCCCTTGTGCCCTCACAGCAGCAAGGAGGTGGCGGAGGATGACCTGACCTCTGGGTAGCCCTGACTCCAAAGAGAAGAGCCTGTAGGGCCAGATGTGAGAGCAAGGGCTAGGAGACTGATGGACACTTCTCACTACCTCAGTAATGAATTACAGCAGCCCCAAGGAAAAGGTCAGGTCACAGCATGGCCATTGCCAGGGGAAGTGAAGAGAGCTCTGGTCTTGTCAGCCCACAAGTGGTTTAGGAGCTGCCCATGTGGGGCTCAGCGGGTGCTGAGGGAATCTAAGGGGATCAGGAGAGTGTCATCCGTGTGGTGGATGTGCTGTGGAGTCCTTGTAAATCCCAGGTACATGAGCAGACTCACAGCCTTTTTGTGTGTCAGCACAGAATGCTGAGACCTAGAGCAGAGAACCTCTATTCAGCTGAGGAATGGCACTGGTTATAGCACTGGTAACTGGCAAACACATGCCTTTTAGACTGACTTTGTGATTCTTCAAATAAGACTTGGAGCTTCTGGAAAAACTGGTACTCAACAATCCCTTGTGGATTCATGTCATTGCAAATAATGCTCATTTAAGGCCATCATTAATCTTTTGTGAATACTGTATTTTCATACGTTAGTCTCCTGTGGCAGGGTGTAGCTTGGGTACAAATTGATTAGGTGGCATGACTAAAGTGACTCAGGAAGCCAGAAGCAGTCAGGATCAGGTTGCCTATTTCCCAGCTCTCTTGTTGTAAATGATATCTCAGAGCACCTTGATGACATTTATTTGCTATTTCTGGGGATATGTGGCATATACAGCATGTGATAGAAATCAGGGAGAGGATCTAGAGTAAAGGCAGTATTAGGATATTCTCTCAGCACTTCTGAACTCTCTGATATTTTGTTTTCTTTTAGAACACACTGTCAAGTTTGAGCCAATTCAAGTTTGACCTGAATTTTGAAGTGATTAAAAATGATCACTTTATAAGATGACAGTTTATAAGCTAGTTGCTTGCTTTCCCCTAAAAATGCCACTGCAATTTAATAACAGAAGTTATCCATCTTCACAGACTATTACAAAACGTGGTCATGAAGTTGAATCTTTACATTTGGTGCTTGAATGATCACTTTAATCTCTCAGCAAAATACTCTTTAGCCCACTATTACTACTTGATATTCATTTGACTTCACGATGTTCTGTTAATGTGTCTATTTGGTCTATTGGTGTAAGTATTATCAGAAAAGTCCTCCTACCAGTGCTATAGAACATACAGTTTCAAAGTCCTGTGAAGCAAAGTCCTGGGTCAATCTGATATCAGGAGAAAGTGTTATTTTTGAATCTCTTCTCTGCAGGGACCTGCTGGGTACTGCAGTGACCTGAATTACAGGGTTTATTTTAAAACAAATACATTGCAGAAGGCACAGGCATCTCTATGGATCAGGTCTGCTGTGTTCCCAGCAGGTCACCCATCACTATTGGGGTCAGGGCTGAGTGGATCCGTGATTCTATAGCATGCCAGTATTTGGCAGGCACAAATTGCAGTACTCTGGATCTCCTGCCTCTCCTCTACCTGCAGCTGACACCACAGATACATCAGGTGACTGAATACTTATACCAAAAGAACACAGATAGCTTTAGGTTTGTTGCTTTGGTGGTATTTTGAGCCTCACCTTCCCCAGCTTGTTGTTGTACATGAATAAGTATAGAGCTTCCAAACTTCTTGTTACCGAGTGGCTTAAGGTCTTTGGGATAAAGACCCTGAAGCCTGAACCTTCCCAAACCCAAACCCTTGATCTGTGTGGGCTCAGTTATAATAGAGAAGTGTGAGGTTACATTGTGCTTTTTTGAATGTTTTGATGCTTTCTTATATGCACGCTTGCAGCCTGTCTGCCCCTGTCTGTCACTCTTCCACTCTACTGCTACATCATTTCACACTGCAGAGCAAGGGGAAATCCCATCCCTTTGGAATGATTCACTTGTGGCTGCATTTAACTCATTCACACACATTTCCAGGGGTTGATGCAGCGATTGCAATGATGAAGGAATTACAAAGCACATACACACAGGACATGGCAGATGGGGGCTCATGTTGCTCCCTCCACGTTGCTCACATTGTTGTGACAGCAGCACATGGCCTTCCCGTGCATCTGTAACAGCTACCCGCAGGAGCTCCTGGCATTCAGTTACACTCCTGGTAACTACACTGGGGTTAGTTTTATCTATTAGTTTTATCACCACTGACTTTGCTACTGAAGCACAGATTTGGGTGTTAGGGAAGTACGGCATAGCTAGAAGAGGTGTCCAAAAATTGACAGACAGAGGGAGCTGGGGAAGGTCCTCAGAACCACATCCTTGGTGCTGGACAGGGGAGGGCAGTGTCCTGGAGGCTGCCTCACTGGAGGAGAGCAGCTGCTCAGTAGGAGTAACAGGGAAAGGGGATAACTCCTCCTGCGGTAGGACAGGGAATCAATTGGGAATTGAGGAGTTATTCCTCTGCCTGCGAGAGACATTCAGGGTGGGACAGAAGAGGAAGGTTGGCTGAGAAATGCCCACGAGATAGGAAAAAGAGATGGCATTATTAAGGCAGCAGTGGGTCCTCATCATGGTTACAACACCCACATCCATAGTAAGTGGATAATATGCTAAACAACCTTTGCAAGTCAGCTAAGTAATGTTGAGAGCAAACAACTGAATAAAAGCATGTTTCAGACCTAACTTGTCCGTTTGTTTTCACAGATTAGGAAGACAGCAGAATACTAAAGTATAGTTGTAAGTAAAATAAGGTTGTGTTTAAAATTTCAGATTCAGCAAACCAAATAACTTGTTGCAGAATGACGAGAGTTTTTCTTTGGTAGTTTCAGACAAGAAAATCCCTAGCAAATCATGCCAGAAGAAAATGAAATTCCATAGTTCCTTTTCTACATATTTCATTCCATCTCTTATTTCACTTTAGTTTATTGTATTTTAGTCATTATACACACACTCTTTGAGCCTCCACAGCCCTAGCTAGTTATCTTTCAGGAGAGCCCTAAGGAAATACATTTCCAGCATATCCTCCCTGTCTCCCTGACACACACTTTTTGCAAAAATTTAAACTTAAACTTACAAAAAGTAAAAGGCACTCAGCAAACATGTTACTTACACGTGGTCTTTTCCATTCGAACTTGATGGGGACTTTCTGGCTATAGAAGAGGGAGGACTCATTTGGTGGGAAATCAGGATCTTCATAGAGAATGTTTTTCTCCAGGCACTTCTTGTGAAGCTCTTCATAGGTCTTCTCCTTTACTCTGATGATGGGCTGGTTGCGACTTATAATGGCAGAATAAATCCCTCCTGTGCCCCCACCTGCACCTTCAGTTGTCGTAGTGCTAATAGTAGCGCTGGGAACCGACCCAGCAGCTGTCTGCTGAGCCACCGCTGCATTGATGGCGGACGGCATGGGAACCCAGCTTACAGCGAGTGTTGAAAGAAAGCACGATCTTGCAAACTGGAAGGAAATCTGAGAAAAGAGGAAGTTGCTGAGCAAACCACTTTTTCTATCTGTTGAAAGTCTCCTAGTCAAAATTGCAAGCAGCGAAACTCCATGTGGTTGAGCATGTTGTGCATCCTCTCGAAGGGCAGGATTTTGTCATCAGAAATCAGAATGTATTCCTTGATGGGGAACGAGACAATCTGTTGGCTAACTCCTGTGCCTGGGTTGTTGTATCTACAGCATGTGTGTGTGAGTGTCCAGAGGGGACAAGCTTTAATCCATGCAATCTAAAAATAACTAGAGGCAAAGAGTGAGAGGGAGGGGGTTAGTGAGATGGTGTCAGTCTTCTGTGTAGCTTGTGCCAAGCCCAGGCACGTCCTGGGACAGGCTCTGTGCTCAGGCTGACTCCTGATTCTAGCAACTCATCTTGTTATGCAGAGAGAACAGTGAAACTGGAAGCTGAACTCCTGCTGGTTTGGGGACACACAGAAGTGCTGCCAGCCAGTCAACTAGTACTGCCCCTCCTGAAGGAACTGCTGTACTTGACTTGTTGTTTCTACTCTACAGAAAATAATAATACAGTAATTATATCCTGCCAGATATACAGAGATTTTTTACTAGTAGAGACATTGTGGCTGCCCCATCCCTGGAAGTGTTCAAGGCCAGATTGGAAGGGGCTTGGAGCAACCTGGGCTAGTGGAAGGGGGGCCCCCCCCCGGCGGGGGG